TGTGTGTGTGTGTGTGTGTGTGTGTGTGTGTGTGTGTGTGTGTGTGTTTGAATGTACGCGTGGGAACGAGTAGCCGATGAATAAGTGAAGTTAAAATATACGATTCGCTTCGAAGTTAACAACGATCGAACTCCAGAGACGGGCAAACTTCTTATCTGGATAAAATAATTTTTTATATCGAATCGAAGATCATCTCTTCGTTCGTTATTCGTCGAATAAAAACTACAAGTTTAAATTTGATAGAAAATACGAAATAAAAAAATTAGATCCGTTGCCTATCTCCGGTTGAAGCCAGTGCCATATATAAAAAAGAGAAAATAGATCAATTTGAAGAAGCGACAACCCTCCCTCTCTCTTTGCTCTACATATTTCTTCGCCAATCTGATGCATCGATACGAAGACTTACAACCTCTGATCATCGCCGCGAAAAAGCGATTCACTAGAAGTTATTCGAGCACCAATGAATCAGAAAGGAATGTGTCTGCGTGTACGATCGCGCATGAGTGGTGGACTCGAATCGACGCGTTGAAAGGGATACGATATCAAAGGGTCTCCTCTATCGAACGGCGATTCGAAGCGCTAGTACAAATACAAAAAAAAAAAAATAAGCACGACTAAACGAAGATCATCATAATGTGATATACGGTATACGTTGCTTGGAACGCTAGGTACATAACTCATTTTGCACAGTAAGAACCAATGGTAGAAGCGACCGCAAGACGCGCTTTTCTCCCTGAATCAAGAATCAGGGTTTGGCGCCGGGGGGTAGGGGGGGGGGGGCGGCGGCTATTTCATGTATATCGCAATCATAAACGATCTCGCTCTTCTTCGTAAACTACTACCACACCGTACGTATCATTGCATCGTACGATTCCGCATTTGGCCACTGTTCATAAAGATCTCACACCTGCGTCAGGCTATTGCATTTGATATATTGCAAACCTACAATTCTAATGACTTATGAGATAGCCCCGTTCTGTTGTTCTTTTTTATCTTTTCTTGCTATTTTTTCGGGGGGGGAGGGAGGAGGAAGAGGAAAAAAGGCCCTGGGTCGGAAACAGTTGTTCGATTCGGGTGTGCTGGGGTGTCGATGAGAAATGGCGTAACGTGTCAAACGTATATAAACGAAGTATTTAACATTATGAGTCTATTAATATCTATACGTATAAGTAGAGAGCTCTAGACTTGAATCCCCCTCCCATCTTTTGCTCTCATCGGATGTCTCTCGTGCATTCTCTCCTTTCCTCTCCGTCAATCACTTTCGTATGCTCTCTACACCACCCTCCCGTTCTCTCGCTTTTCGTCAGACATTCGCGCGATGCATGCACTCGCAGATCCACACATACATAAACACACTCTCGAACACGCATGCATCCTTACCCACCCCTTTCCTCGTCTCTCCCTTTTTCCCCGCCCATATCCAGATCACACCCTAAATTTTCCACAGTTAAATCGCCTTTTACCCTTTGAACAACTTATTTGCTTTCTGCCGCCACGCGACACCTTATTTTCCCTCTTTCTCCTTTTCTTTGTTCTCGTCAACTTCCTTCTTTTCGTCTTTTTCTACTTCCTTTTCCTCCTTGTCCGCTTTCTCCTTGTCACCCTCCTTCTCCTCTTTAGACTCCTTATTACCCTCTTCTTTAGTACCCTCCTTTTCCTCTTGCTTCTCCGGTTTTGGTAGATGCGTGTTCATGTCAAGGGTGGAGCAGATCTCGTCCCAATCCGGGAAGCACCGCTCCTTCATACGCGAGCAATGTCCAACCAAATTCGGACAGTTCTCCTGCATGTAGTCTCGCAGACTGTACGACGTGTCTTTGTCGATATACAGAATCTGACCCAGGTGAGCGAACGCTACGACGTCCAACTGTCGAAACAAACAAAAATAATTTACAATTCCGTAAATAATACAGTTTACGACTGCACGTTTACACGTAGATCGCTAAACGGCGATGGTGAACAGAGAAGACACCTTCTCTCCTTCTCTCTTCTCTGTGTCTCTTTACTTTAACAAGTTTGATTAATTAACTCTAATTGGAAGGGTCAACGTTGATCCGTTACAATAATTGACGAAATAAAGGATAGAATTCACTCGTAAGGGAATGTAAAATTGAAACCTACCGTGGTTGGCTCGTCTCCAAAGAAGAAGGGTTTATCGGCAAGCATATCGGAGAGAACCTTGAGATCGGCGCAACCCAACTGGGACACTTCTTCGGGGGTATGCATTCCCATGCCCTGCGCCTTCACCTTTTTCGCGCTCTGTAACAAATCCCACTATATTTCACTACGGATGGTCGCACCTTTCTGTTCTACACATTCGATTTCTTATTTCGACGGCCATTAGGCCGACGATTGGCAACCTTTCTCGACTCTAAGATCGGATTTTATAAGTAATGACGTTTTGACGATAGTAAAATATCGTTTCGAAATTTACCTTGCGCACGAACGTGAGCTTGAAGAAGAAGTTTAGAATGCTGTTGGGGATGCGGGTGCCAAGGACGTGCTGAAGGTTCACCTTGTACCCCTTCAGAACCTGATCGAGATTTTTGGTGCGCCAGCACATGACCACCCAGGCCAGGTGGTTCTCGATCATCGATATCATCGCGTGCGAGACGCTTCGCTGCTCGGACGTCAGAGCAGCGTCCAGGTCTTTGCCGAATTTCTGGCTTAGCTCGCGGAGGATTATCATGCTGTCGGCATACTCCTCACCGTTCAGCTCGATGAACGGCAGCACGCCCTTCTTAGAACGGAATTTCATCTTGTGATCCACATTCTGAAACAAAACACGACAATGTAAATCCATACGAACGAAACAAGTACAATAAATTATCTTGATCTTTCAACCATAACCATTCCTTCGATTTGTTTAAATAAACTTTTTATTAAAAAGTCCTGTAAAGAAGATTCTGAATTCTGGCCGATCGCCGACATAAGTAATTATTAATAATCTGTCTTTTCTGTAATCGCCAATAAAAATTGCAAAAAAATGCAACATTAAATGGATTCTGCCGCATTGTGCAGCGTCAACGTTCGGAATCCCCGAAGCCGGATTCCGTATTTCTTCCAGAACAGAGCAAGCAATTTTCTCGGTTAACGAGACAGAAAACGAAATGGAAGAAATAAATAAATCGGTATTTTCTATAGACAGCCCTGCGGGAAGCGTAAGATTTGTACCTGTAAAAGGATTTGTACCTATCGATACGTATCGGTGGTGCACCGCGCGCGCATCATTTTTCGTCAATATGATATCTGGTGACCTTTACAGATGGATCGAGTTCCGTCGATACATCGATAACGATTGTGTACATCTCGCGAGAAGAATTCGAGCGCATGGTTCCCATGTCGCAATTCGTCGAAGCGCGATAAACACGTCGCGCATGCGTACCACGAAAATAATAATACCCGTAAGAAAAGAAAACAATAAGATATACGCATTCCAGTCGCCGAAAGTCCGCGTTAAATATCGCACCAGCGAAGTTTAACAGGCGCCAAAGTCAATACGGATATGTATGTAGTCCACTTTCTTGGAGCTATATAGTTTACAATAGAGATTTAAAACAGTGTCAATGAGAGTAACTCCGTTGCCTAGATTTCACCAAAGCACATAATAAGAAACTTTCTAAGCGCTCGGTGGCCATCTGTTAACGCACTACGTTACGAGTCTACGGGGTTCTGGAATCGCGGCGATTTTCTCTCGTTTTACGATCTCCTCGACTAGGTACCGATTTGCAATCTCGGAGGTACAAAATGAAATTTTAATAGGCATACATCACGTCAGAAAATCTTTGTGCAGTCGACTAGCACCATTGCCTCGAAATATGCGTATGGATCTCTGGGGCGAGTTTAGCAGACAATGAGTATAGAACGTATACACAGATCAGTCGCGATGCACGACTTACTTTTTTTGCCTCGGTTTGTATCGTACGCAAACCCTGCTGGCTTTCAAGATAACTAACATCGCTCCGAAGCCAAAATAAAGCGTTATTCGTTACCTAGATAAACATTCGAGTATCGTGCAATCTGGACAAAAGCTTTCACGCTAACGCCATCTTCTGCCTCCACTGTACGAATGTATCCTAGAACTACTATCCTTAACGATATCGACCTAAAACTGTGCGGAATACGCTAAGAAAGCAATCTTGTGTCAACCACAATCGACAAGTGGAAGAACGCTGTACCATCGGCGTCGGCTGTGCAAATCACCCCGAATTAACCATACAATGCAGACGTCGGAGAGACCGGAGCGTCGAGCCTGGTCCCACGAAAATGGGAACAATGTCACGATATACGTGGGAACACCTCTTTGGAAGGAATTCGTCGTCGTCTGTAATTAATAAGTGATGAACGCAGGCGCGAAAAATAAGAAAGAGAAATTCTTCTATAAAGAAAATAAGGAAATTCCAACAAAATACAGGGTGTCCCAAAAATGTTGTAACATTTTGAAAGAGGTGGTTCGGGAGGTGATTTGAAACAACTTTTTACTTAGCGAAAATTTTGTCCGAGGCTTCGTTGAGGAGATATTAACGGAAAACATTGACCAATCAGAGCGCGCGTAGACCGTTGGAGCGGCGGCGGTAGCGATGACTACGCGCTAGGTAGCCGCTCTCGTACGCGAACAAGCGACTCGACGTGCATCGAAGGACATTGGACGCGGCCGCTTAGCTCGTAGCCTTCGTTACCGCGAGCGCTCCATCGGCATACTCGCGCTCTGATTGGTCAGTGTTTTCCGTTAATATCTCCTCAACGAAGCCTCGGACAACAATTTCGCTAAGGAAAAGGTTGTTTCAAATCACCTCCCGAACCACCGCTTTCAAGGTGTTACAACATTTTTGGGACACCCTGTATTTATAATTCCAACGAAATATTTATCGCTATCACTACTGTCCGAAATTGTCATCCGTGATAAGATCACGGAAAACTTCGGCCTTCCATTTTTAAAATGCAGCGCTTAAAGATTTCAAACGCGACCGAAGAACGGGGTAACTTGAAGAAAAGTGTGTAATAAACGAAAGAGGAATAGGAAGATCCCAGAGGTTCGCAGCCTCGGCGTGCCTTCGTATGAGTGATAATGGCGATGATGGAAGCGACGTCGTCGTCGGAGGTGCAACGTCTGTTTTGCAATGCGAGAACGTCGTGATAATGGTGAGTAACGGGTGGTACGTACAAGGGCTTGCGGAGGTGGGTGGGTAAGAGAATGAGGGGAAACGAAGAGCGGCAGAGGATGTATGCCAACGTGAATTCCAGGGACAAGAAAGTGTCTAGAGAGAGAAACACCGGAACGAGAAACAGGGATGAAAAGAGAAAAAAACGGACAAACAGTCGAGGGGATAGAACAAACGGAAAAGGAAGAGCTTAAACGGAGGATCGAAAAGAAAAAAGCGACACACGCAACGGTATTTGGAAGAGCAAGATGATGATATATCGTCGCATTCTATCTCTGGATATTAGAAATTTCCTGGATTTCAAAACAAGACTCGTGTTTTAGCTGTTACAACGGCCGTATACGTTTCGCTGAAACGTAGGGAAACGTTGATCTGATCGTTGAACTCGTTACGTTGGAAACAATATCGGTGCCCGTCCGACGACAGTGGAAGAACAAACAGAAGGTAAAAAAAAAAAAGGAACGAGGGGACGCAAAGGCGTAGTAGCTACGCGAAGCCGTACTCGAACGGGCAATGGCTTGACCAGAGCACGAAAATCCGATACGACCGGGAATTAAATATCCACCGACGTAAAATCGATGAAGCGGTCGGTACTGATTAATTCGCGACTGGCCACGCGTTGGCAGATGGTGTTGTCGTCGGTACCACTGCGCCGACGATCGTTAAAACTTCCAACAACCGGTCAAAAGCGCATAATATAACCGTCGAATCGCGCAGGAATCTCACGGAGACGCGTGTATCAATTCGAAGAGATGAAAAGTTGAGCAGAGGCAGACGCTGTAGGCGGAGGAAAAATTACCGCGGGGCAGTTGCCCTCCGCTCGTCATTCCGGTCGAGTAAAATACATACACGCCAATTCTCTGCGCCTGCGTTCGCGTACGTTCGGTAAACATCGACGGGGGTTGGAAGAATACATCCGATAAATGCGAGCGTCCCGTCGTATCTGTAAATGGACGATTTCTCGTTAAAAAATAAATGGAAGACATAGAATTCAATCTCGAGCGTTTCCGAGTTTCCAATCTTCGACTAAGAAATGATCTCCCGTCATCGCGAATTATTGGCCGTCTCGTATAACCCGAGTAACGAGATGGGTGGGGTTAAGCGAATCGAGATGAGAGATTCTATGGAGAAAAAGCAGTTCTAGGAGCTCCAAGATGCCACGGGGGAGACGAAAACCGCACGCAGCGGCGAGGAAAGTTTGAAAAAAGATGAAACGAAACGAAGGTATCGAGAGAAGACCGGGAGAGAGAAAAAGAGAGCGAAGGAGAGAAGCTAGGGGGAAAAAAAACGGGGAACACTGACACGAGCAAAGCACGGGGAGAGCATCAGCCGAGAAAAGCGCGAAGCTCGAATAGAGAGAGGGGGGGGGAGGGGGGGAATGAGGGAACAGATTGAAAGGGAGAAGGAGAACGGAGAAGAGAAGCCAGAGAGGGAATCAGGGAGTGGTATAACGGCGCAAAGGGTGGGGGGAACGCGTGGGGTTCGAGGGAGAGCGTGAAAAACGAGAAAGAACGAGAACAAGACAACGGTCGAGTGGGGAGAGGAGACGGAGAAGGATAAACTGAGGGTGAATTGAGTGGGTGGAAGGGAGAAGAAACAAGCCGGAGGACGATGAACTCTGGCGGGTAGGCAGCTTCCGTCGCTTGGCAACGTCCTCCTCCTCCACCACCTCCTCCCTTTTCCTCCTCCTCACCCTGAGGCTCACAGGCCGTTATGTCGTGGTATCGTACGTAGGCAGTCCTCGTCATGGACGTAGTAGTCGTGTCATCGTCTTCGTCGACGACGATCATGGTAGTCGTTGCCGTATTTCCACGTAGCCGTGGTACGCAGCTTGCGCTGCGTATTGATCGTACGGGCTGCTGCTGCTGCTGCTGGTTGCTGGCTGTTGGCTGCTCCAGCATCGGCCAACTGCGAGTTTTAGCCACAGCCCTACAAAGGGCCAATAGGACTCCCTTGGCTTTCTACTCGGCTTGCTCGCTCCGATCGACGCGACGCCCGAAAACGAAAGCAAACGCGGATGACTACCGCTATACTACTGTCTTTCTCCCTCGCTCTGTTGGCGCAACCAACTTTTTACCATTGACTCGACAGTAAACATTGATCCGCGATATTGGAAAAACGTTACGCTTCAACTATTCAAGACCTGACGCGTTGTTTGTTGCGTTTAAAGCCGGCGACTGACTTGCAACAGAACATTGTAATGTAACGCGAGCATTCGCTTAGTTTGACGGACTAGCGAGCGACGAACTGAGCCGTTCTTGCGCTCGGTTTGCGCTCGACCGTGCTCTACTGGTCTTTTGGTTTTTTGACGAACCTCTTTGATCGTCTACTTTTCACTGAAGCAGTCTACTTTTTAGGAAGCATTGAGAAAGAATTCAGCCGAGAGTTCGAAGCGAACATTCGTGATTCCAAAAAGGACTTTGTAATGTAACGCTGATGCCGAACCGTAAAATTCGTGCCGGAGCAGTTACATTACAGCGTTCTGTTGCAAGTCAGTCGCCGGCTTGACGTATTCGAGACCGACGACGTATCCACAAGTCCATCGCCGATAGCCGCAAACTTTGTCTGCGATTCTGTTCTGACCCACACGCTGCGCCATGGACTGGACGAG